CCACATCTTTTTTACATCATGGCGACCAAAACTGAATGCAGTATTCCAAATGTGGCCTTACCAAGGCATTATAAAGTGGTATTAACACTTCACATTATCTGGTTTCTATCCCTGTTTATGCAGCAGAAGCATAAGTAGCAGAAGCAGCACAATGTCTGCTTGATTAATGAACTTTACATTGAAATGTGTTTCTGGACTCTCTTTTAAGAATCTTGCAGGATTGAACAATGTATTGTTCTCTGTCCACCACTTTGAATTTTTCAGATGAGTAACATCCCAGTAAGGGGAAATGAAAAATATGTCAGTTATAGAATACAAGTGTTACCTGATCTTCCTATTGTATTTAGGTCCCACCCATCCCAGCTCCCAAATTAGTGAGTACAGAATAAAAATCCCAATTTCTAAAAATGTAAGGAAGAAAGAACCACCATTTCCCAATGGAACAGAAACTGATTTTGCACTTGCAGAAGAAAGAACCACCTATTGTCACAAAAAGTTGTAAACAGAGATCGAATTAAGGGACTTACCTGGTAGCCAAACTGATTGCAAGGAAAACCCAGTACAACCAGCCGTCGAGGGTATTTGCTCTGCAGCTGATTCATCTGGGTGTAATCCCTCACTGTGGTGGCTCAGAAAGATGCCACGTTCTCTATCAAAACCACTCTTCCCCTGAAATTGTTGAAATCCACTTTCTCCCCTTGGAGATCAGTGGCACTGAGATCATAGAAAGTTTTGGCTATGGGAGTCATCATTGTGTAGAGTAGATTAAAAGGGGAACAAGGCGAGATGCTTGCAGGTATGGTTATCTGCTTCAAGTGCTCTTCTGTGTAGTCATGTGCTGAGTTGCACCAAGGCTCCTTTCTTCATAGGGTAATTTGCAGAAGGTGGAGCCTCTCCTTGTTACTCATCTAGCTCTTTCCTGATTGGGAACAAAGCAGCAGGTCAGGGTGATAGGAGTTCCATTGCAAGCCTGCAATCTAAGCCATTGTGATACTTTGGACAATCCTCAATAATTCATGCTGCTTACAACAAAAACCCTACTTAAGAGATCAATGGAACCCATGAGATGCAACAACTTTTTTCCCCTTTGAATTTCAGGGTTTTGTAGAGGCTTTGAAGCCATGCCTGGCATTTTAAGTTTTCCAAAGAAAAATGGAAGTCAAGAAAATATTGGCTGACTTTTAAAAGCCATATAAGTTACTGTTGTGGCTCGGCAGGAGCCTTTGGAGCTGCTATCAGACTCTGACAGTGAGGGGCCCTATGAGTCAGGCCTGGAGGAGGCGGAGGCCCCTGGACAGGGTTCTGACTCTGAGCAGGGCTCAGAGAGATTAGTTGGTCCCCAGGTAATGACTGAGCCTTGGATCAGTGAGAGAGGCTGACACAGAAACCTCCTGTGAGTTGTTTCGGGATGCACGCAGGAGAAGGGATGACCAAAGTAAGGAACAATTGAAGATTCACAGGAGATGATAACGAGCAGCTGTTGCTCGTTAGGATCTCCTGCGGATAAAAGACTGATGGTGCCATGCCCTGGTTGCAGAAGTCAATGTTCCGTTTCTGTTCTAGTCAACGTTCTCCGTTCGTGTGCAACCATCGAGCAAAGCGCTTGGATTATATAATCCTGTTTTGTAGCAGTTTCTGAGTTAGGACTTTTGCCAGAGCATTTATCTGTATTTTGGGCTCACAGCCAGCAAGAGCCGGGACTGATAAAAACATTCCTTTGAACATTCTGTTTGGCTGTCATTTTTTTTTTTTAACTATCGGTTCTGTGGGCGTGGCTTGGTGGGCATGGCTTGGTGGACGTGGCAGAGGAAGGATACTGTAAAATCTCCATTCCCTCCCTACTCCAGGGGAAGGATACTGCAAAATCTCCATTTCCTCCCGATCAGTTGGGATTCAGGAGGCAGAGATTAGATGGGGGTGTGGCCAGTCAGAGGTGGTATTTACCAGTTCTCCGAACTACTCAAAATTTCTGCTACCAGTTTTCCAGAACCTGCTGAATACCACCTCTGGTGTGGTGTGAGAGCATTGCTTCTGAGGGCACTGTTTAGACTTTGGTTCAAAGAAATCTAGAACGCTGGATATTTGGGGGTAGCCAAAGAAAGCAGATTCTGGAGCAAGGTTATTTCCTAGTGAAAACATCTCTTTTTATGAATGTATGTGGGAGCCATTCTGGAGGTTGTTCTAGGCAATCACTACATTGGAAACTTCTGAAAAATATGAAGTGTTTCATAATAGTCACATTTTTCTCAGCCTTCCAGCACAAGTAGGAATAAAGAACTTGCACGTCCCATATGACTGAAATTATTTAAGAGGAAAAATGAAGCAGCTTCTCTATGACAAAATATGCCCTTGATATGGACAACCAATCAATCTTCTGCAGGGCCATCCAGCCACTTGACGGATAGTTTATTTTGATAGGTGTCAACAATTACTAGCCCTATGCAGTAGATACAGCTATACACCATTTATGACAGATATCTGTTCATTTTGCATTCTATAACAAAAGTGTTTTCGTGAAAAAGATTAAAATATTTGTTTACCTTCTTATGAAAAAAAGATTTCTACATATATTCCATGTACAGGTCTTATTTATATATTTTAAATCAACTGAAAATGGATGGTGAGCTTCCTTAATTTGAGGGCAGACTTGCCCTGTTCTGAGAACTGCAACACATCTGAAAAGAAAAATGAAACATCCTCTTTTCGAGCCAGATAATTAGAGCCTTTCTGCTTCTCCTGGCACAAGAAGACGGACTGAATTATTAACTATTGGATCAGATTCCCGGAGAGCTTAGGAGGGAGAGGGAAGGCATGTAACCAGAGCCCAGTAATCAGATATGATTTTCTAAAGAGGGAGAGAAGCAAACTCTTATTAATGCAAGTTCTACCGGTGCCAATGGAAAGCATTCTGAGAACATGAGGACAAAGGACCATTTTGTCCAAACATCAAGTAGTTATGTCCACAATAGTTGTTGAGTTCACATATTGTGCTAAGCGTTTGCTTCAGTAATAGTTCATTTGACAAACCATAATGGCCTGCTTGTTGCCAAACTAAGGTATAAGCCATAAACCAGATTTATTTATATGAAATAAATGTCATAACAATTTACAGCAGCCTTCCCTTCTCCTAAGCCTAAAAGTAAAGGTTCCCCTCACACATATGTGCTAGTTGTTCCTGACTCTAGGGGGGCGGTGCTCATCTCCGTTTCAAAGCCGAAGAGCCAGCGCTGTCCGAAGACGTCTCCGTGGTCATGTGGCCGGCATGACTCAATGCCAAAAGTGCATGGAACATTGTTACCTTCCCACTAAAGTGGTCCCTATTTTTCTATTTGCATTTTTACGTGCTTTTGAACTGCTAGGTTGGCAGAAGCTGGGACAAGTAACGGGAGCTCACTCAGTTACGGGATTTGAACCACCGAACTGCCAACCTTTCAATTGACAAGCTCAGTGTCTTAGCCACTGACCTACCATGTCCCTCTTCCTTTCTCGGCTCCCCTTTCTCTTGCATATACCTAACTTCTGTGAATCCATCTGGATCATATTTTAACTAAGAGAAGGCTAAGTCATCCAAGATTATAAGTGATAAATCTTACTGTGTAGAGGGTAGTCATATTTACAAAATGCGAAGTACAAACAAGATTGAAGGGTGGATGTCACTGATTTCAGTAATTCAAATTTCTGGCGGTCTTAGTTTAAATGGGGAGAATATATTTCTTTTTACAATGTATTATTTTTAAACAGCGGTGCTGGAAACAGCTGTCTTAATCCAAAACACTTTCAATGATTGGTACTCACACATTTGAGCATTAGCCTAATTCTTGTGGGTTCTTGAACAAGGATTGTTGTATTTTTTGGTTGTACTAATGCTTAAACCTGGCTTCCTCACTTTATTTGGAGTTTTGTATGTCAAATGACGTATTTGTGGTATGATTTTTTTAAAAAAAGGTATTATGCATCGTTATTCTAAATACACTGAGGGTTTGCCATTTGCTCTCCCTGTGCTTCAAGTCAGAACTCCCTGAGCTGAATTCTACTCCTGCTGGCCTCCTGAAGATGGTTTTGTTTTTAAGGCAACAAAAATGGGGAATTAACTTTTAGTTAAATGTATCTGTGAGTGAATTAGGCTTTGTTCAACTCTCCCCACTACATTAGGAAACACAACTGAAAGATGAAGTGAACTAGAAAGTATTACAGAGCCCTGCTCTGAGTAAAGTTCTCATAAGCAAGTATTAGATTAATTTGCTGGTAAGGAAATGCAAGAGCCACCAACCACTTTAAGGACCTTTATTTGTAAATGTTTTGTTAATTTGTTGTTTAAAGTAATGAATTACAATGACAGGTTATACAAGGAAACCCAGTCAGAGTGCCAAGTTCACAAAGTACAGACACAGCAGAGGATTCAGAAAGTTGTACTTTTGGTTGGATCCCACAACAAATTATGTGCAACTCTTTCTGCTACAGACAGAGAAATTGCTATGGTCCATGATTTGCAGGACAGAAGAGCCTCAAATATTGGATAGCATTTACCTTTTTCAGAAACCAGCCCATTTCCCTTCTCAGGTACTGGCCTGAAATTCACTTTTGTGACCCCAAGAGAGCATCATTCTAATTAGCCCCCTCCCCCTAATATTCATATCGAGTGGGAGCTGCTTTCATTAAGTTGTCAACCATTCAGATTGCAGTTTTCCAAACAAGGATTGGCAACCAAGCTGGCTCTTGTAGGTTTAGATAACGAGAACTCATCTACTCCCATCAATGAGCAAAAAGCTTTGTGTGCTCCTTCTTATTTCATTTTCTGAACATGTAGAATTTAATGGGTCAATTTTGTGCATTGGTAGCAGCATCAGCAGCTATGCTCTCAGTTCCTAAATAGAGCAAGCATATCAACACGATGCTAAATTGCAACAGGCAGAACAGGCTAGTGGGGCCATTCCATGGATCTCCCCAAGGACCAATGCTTTTATTTCCACATGGGCTCGAAGAATTTGGGTCGTCTTCAAAGCTTTGGCAATTTGAAGAGCTGCCTGATCCTTTCAATGACATACCTCTCCTTCATAATTTTACTCAGGCTTTCTTGAAAGTAATGCATTGCAAGTTTTAAAGAACCAGGGACTGCTTCATATATTTTAGTAACCAGATAGGTAGTTTTTGCTTTGCTTTATTCCTATCTCAAACATGTCATCCCACATAACTGTTCTATGGCAGAGATTTGGAAGCAGTCTTTAAAAACTGCCAATTGTACTCACCAAGGATAAACCTGTTCACCATCAAGGCAGGAAAGAATTGGGCAAGGGAAGGATAGTCATCAGGCCTTGGGCAGTGAGCACATATGAACTGGCCTTTAGCCTTCATTTAACTTTTCAAACTCATTATACAGACAAAAGCAAGCAAGAGCAAATAATGCTCCAAAGAAGTAGCCCAAATATGTTTGGGCTTTGAAAAAGATACATCAAACTAAATTAAATAAAACCAATGCTTCTTCTTCGGTCCCATTTTCTTCGGTCTTTTCCTTTTTCCTACCCCATGACAGACTTCAAGGTTCTCAGACTCTTCACTACAACCCAACCTTTACAACATACTTTGGGTCCCAATAAAGCTACAATAAATTAATAGCTATGTGTATGTCTGTGACTACAATTTCTCAAGTATCAAACTAGTTCTGGCAAGAAGTATAGTTTCCCCTATGAAACCAGCAACTGTAAAACTTGTAGTCTCCCTCAGCAATCTATAGCACAAGAGTCCTTCTGCCAGTAACAGGCACTGTTGGGTAGAATATCAGT